CTCTCCAACAACACCTTGCAAACACCGATCTGACCCGCCAGCGCCGCCAGGTGCAGCGGCGTCGCCGCCTCCGCATTGAAGACGTCCGGCGTCGCCACGGCGTCCGCCGCGACACCCGCCCAGTCCGCAGACGCGCGCACTGACGCCCCGTACGCTGCGTCGTCGGCGTCGGGCGTCACGTTGATCAACGCCTCGCGCGCACGCTCGTCGTGCACACGCTGAGTGTCACGCACGAGCGTCCACTTCAGCAACTCCGTCACGCACTTCACTTTGCCGCGATGCGCCGCGTAGTGCAGCGCCGTCTGGGCCCCCAGCAACGACGAACACGGCGCATTCACGAACGCGGCCAGTCGCCGTCGGGCCTCCGGCCCGGCGGGCGTGCCCACCTGCCGCCCCAGTTTTGTCTCCACCGCCGTGAGGGCAGCCGGGCCGCCAGGACGGGCGGGTGCCGCCTGTTCCTGTTCAGTGCGAGCGAGCAGACTCTGCAGCACGAGCGAGACCATGGCGGCGTTGCTTTTGTCCTGCTTTAGCAGCAACTCGCCCTCCAGCTCGGTCTGCGGCTGTGCCGCGGCAATGAGGTGTAGCAACGTCATGTCCCACGGCGAGGTGGACAAGAGTGAGGCGCACGACGCACGCCGCACGAGATACTCGAACACTCGTACCTGGTTGTGCGTCGCAGCCAGTCCCAGGGAGTTCAGCGCCGTGTTGCTGTCAATCGCATCTATCCACAGGTCCGCCTCTGCCAAGTGCGCACTCACCACCTCCAAGTTCCCCGATCGAATCCCGGCCAACCACCACTGCAACGGATTCACCGCAATCGACCGCCGCAATGCCGTGTCGTCCGGCACACCCATCGACGGCCACAGCTTACAGTGCATCTGCCGTAACTCATCCAACGGACCCGCCGCACCCATCACACCCGGCACCTTCACAAAAGGCAACCGACTCACCGCCGCAATCGCACTCGCACTCGACAACACGTACAACGTCAACCCGTGCCGAGGACCCAGACAACAGTACGCACTCCAGTAAGCACGGTGCAACAACGTCGGCGCCAACTGATCCACCGGCAACAATTCAATCAAACTCAAACCCAAGCTAGTGTGGTGTAAATCGGCTGTCGGCAACACGTTCTGCGCAATCAACATAGCGTGGTACTGCAAACCCAGAGCCTTCGCCAAGTCCCGACCCGGATTCGCCTTGTACAAACCCACCAACTGCACCAACGTCTCAAACACCAACCAATTCGCACTGTGTGCGCGAATCAACATCTCCTCGTACAAGGACATCAACTCCCCACGCATACCCACCACACTGTGACCCTTCACGTCGATCAACCGATCCTGCCAACTGCTTATCAACTGGTCACACTCAACCTCCGAAACAGACGTCTTCAGCAAACCGCAACGACTACACTCCCATTTCTGAGTCGCACCAGTCCCACCCTTCCACACCACATCCTCATCGCGAGCCTCACGCAAGTCACTGGTCGCACCATGAAGGCCCTCGCGCGACGTGGAAGTCTCTCGAAACCGTTTGATACACACGTCCACCCGCGCCAACCGCCGTGGACACGCATAACCGAACAGACACTGCGGGCAACGGATTCCATTCACGAAGCGGAGTGACTCCGAGGGGTCCCGGCACCGCACGCAGCAGCATTGGAGGACCTTCAGCGGCTGGAACAATGCCTTGCGCAAGTTGGTTGGCTTGTACAAGTCCGGAACATAGCTAAAAGCAACCGGGTCGCCCTGATCGATGAATGCAATTGAACGCAGGACAAGACTTCGGTTCCCTCCGCCGGCGGTCAGCTGCTTCCCGGAGTTCCAGTGAACTTCTCCCCCTTTCCACGCGCTGCTCAGCATTTCTAGGAACTTATCGACCACATTGTCCGCAACCTTTGCCTGAATCGGCCAACCGTGCGTCTCACGGGACGCACCGTAAGTCTCACTAAAGTCGTCACGCGTCTCATCGTCGATGTCTGGTTGGTAACTGGCGTAGAGGTTGGGTATGCAGCTGTGTGTGAGTTTGCTGAGGACGGGTGCGATGGTGAGTAGTGATGTGGTTTCGTGCTTGGCGTTGTAGGACTCGACGATGAAGGAGTGGGCGTGTATTTTGCAGATGAGTTCGTCCATGTCGGTTTTGCCGAGGCCGAGTTTGGCGCAGATGGGGAAGAACTGACAAAGTGCGCGTGCGAGGTGTTGGATGGCGTCCCAGAGTTCGGATCGGTAGCACTTGTAATCGGTGTAACTAGAGGCGAGTTCGGCGGCGATGAGTTGGAGGTCGTCTCTACCGGGCGTGCCGTCTAGTACGCGCGCGATGTAGGTGTTGACGAGGAGGCGGACGACGAGGAGGATGAAAGCGGGTGTAAAGCCAGAAACGTGTGCGAGGGGGAAGAGTTGCGTGTGCAGGAACTGGCAGGTGAACTGGTGCCTGCGCGCATGTTGCAGGAAGCAGAGCATGCCGCAGAAGTCGAAGGGGCAGCTGTGTGGCATCACGCAGCAGGGCACGCGACCTGCAACGAGGTCGCGGCCGCGTCCGCAATGCGTGCACCAGCGTCCCTGGTCGAGGTC